TGAAACCTGAAGCACAACTATTCGTTCCTAGGCCTTACTAGTTTATCAGATCACCAATACAAATAGAGATTCCTAACTTTTATTTTAACCCTGAGAGCCTACCTGGTTTGCATACAGGTTGGGTCTCTTTCGTGTGTAATCCATCTCTTCCTCTTCCTCCTCCTCTGTGCTCCAGTTCTCCCAGTCATCCTCGGCTAGTCGCCGCGCTAAGTTTGCCAAGTCTTGACGCTGTCTACATGTTGAGTAGAAACATGAGCCATATTGTCAAATTGAACGATGGGTCCCTAAATTAGAACACAAGTCCATCATGCATGTATAGCCAAGTCTGTCCTGTGTTGCAATGTGCATCATGTAGGAACAATTTCTGTCCATAAATGCAACCTATCTCTGTCATATTTTTAAAGATCTCCTTGAGATACTAGTATTGTGTGAACAAAGAGGTTTGGACCAAACCTACATGTACACTCTTCTGATGTTAAGGGGCATAGAATCATGAAAATAATTCTTCCACTAAGTTCCAGTTCTTGATCTCTGACGCTGCTTAATCCAATTACAATCCAATTTAGGTTTACTTTAGGTCCAAACGCCTTGTTCATTGAATAGTACCTATCACATTTGACTATTTTTTGGAATGGTGCATTTCAGTGTTATTGGTGTCATATTGTCTTTAAAGTGATATTATGTAGGATTTTCGCGCCAAAACTGAAATTACAAATAATTGAAATTTTCTCATCCAGATTGTCATTTTCGATAACTTTCAACGTATTAGCGTCGCTATTTCGCATTTTCGGCAACTCAGCGCAGCGCGAGAATAAGGTGCGCAAGGCCATACGTATTTATTTGTGCCCCCAAAAATAGAATGTAAACAAACAACGGTTTTCGTTCGGAAATCTTTGGCAACTTCCGGCGTGTGTCTGGGTTCCATGGTTCGAACGCTTTCGAACGCTGGAGTTCGAAGCCGACTGACTTCAAATTTGCCAATTTTTGAAGGGTCAGTACCTAATCTTAAAATCCTCTCTTTGTATATACTTGAAAGTTATCATGTCACTTATCATATTGCATGTGGTAACCACATTCATACAGTTTCTCATACCAAGGAACGAAGTTTATGACATTACGCTGAATGTATCAAAATGTTGCGGAAACTCAGAATGGTGTGTGCCGGTAGCTACAACTGGGCTAAAATTTCGTCACCGCGATGTGTGCACCGTCGCGGCTTTCTTTGGGGCAAACCCGTTTGTCCTAAAACTAACCAGGGGACTTTGGTATCGATGTAAAGGTGAAGATGTGGGCTATCACACTGTGGTATTAGCTAATGGGATCCAGTTGGCCAGTAAAAAAAGAAAAGCACAGATAAACTGACCAAAAATGCTAATGTTTGGAAGGCCATAACGATCGCTGTCATTTTGTAATGCACGAAATATCTACATTGTTGTACTAGGCAAATCCTGTAGATATGAAAAAGTATAAAGGTTACGTATGTCTAAGGTGTTTTTGTTGCACTATTGACAGTTGTCAAATCGTGACCCGGCAAATGCCGTATTTTAGAGAATAACGTGTTCTGCGGTGACCTGCGGTTCGGCTGGATTCGGGAATGCTCGGACGCGGTCGGATGTAAACAAACATGGCCCCGATCAGTGCTAGCGCCGAGAAGTGCGCAGTTTTCCAACACGTTTTTGCGGCGTAACGACGTTGATCTTTTGATCCCTAAATGTCATTAAGAACCCAGGTAGGCTTACAGAGCAAGAAAATGTTTAAAATATAAAGATGTTTGAAATAGTCAAAATTCTACATAATATAACATTAGCTTTAATGCTTGTGTCAATAGGATAAAATATCTGCGGGAAACACATACATTTGTAATTGGACTGGTGGTCGTTTCGTACAAGTGGTCACTTGTGCGGGTTTAAACATAATTCTGTCATCTGAGATTCAGACTCACTTCTTCTGTCGATCCAGCATCTGTCTCCTCCTCTCCGACTGGGCCAGGTCATGTGACTTGGCCTTGTACTGCGCCAGGCGGGGGTGCGGGGCTGCCGGGTTGTTCGGGACGTTCGACACGGAAAAGGAACTGGCCAGAGCGGACGTCAACTCCTCCATGGCGATGGGGGATGTGATGTGGTGTTGTGACTGACAAAATATGGTGAAGGGAAACACTGTCAAATCACCACCAGTTGATAGCACATACAATCATTTTTTTTCACCAAATGCACAAAGATGAGGTAAAGCAGTAAAGATTCAAGTAAAACCTTATGTTGTTCTGGTGTGAAACCTATGTCGATGTTGCATGTTGCTTCGTTGCTACTTTCTTTATCCCCTGACGTCATATGAGCATCACGTCGAGCACTCAGGGGAGATTTTGGCGAAGAGAAATGCTTCCTACAAACTCACCGTAAAGATATCCGGAAATGTCCGTCCAAGGCTTTTTTTGTTCGAAGATCTGCACCCAACAACGTCCCGAATATTTCATACAGGCTGAAAAATTGTGTTTCGCGGATTTTTTTTCACCACCGGGCCGCCATTTTGTTTGAATCCATACTACCGAATGATCGGCACATCTAGGCGCTGATTGGTTTCTAATTGTGAGGCAGGGATTCTTCTCTCTGGTTGGCCAGATTGTCACACCATGTGGAAGTTTCCCGTATGTTTAGAGTTAAACCAATCACAAGCTTAGCTCAGTAGCGCTAGATTTCCTTGCTGCATTGGGGGAGTTGTTAGGGGGTTTGGCGATCACAATAGACATAGTTTTTCTCATTCTTTCGAAGAGTATAGGTGTTTGCTAAAGTACTACACCAAAATTGTGCACATGGCTATGGATTGTGGTTCAGAACTTATCTGCTATTTTTTCGAAGTACGCAGAATCTTTCCCTTAGCGGCGTTACTAAGTACCCCTCATTAACCTCCATGCTGACCTAAGCCGACAAAAATGGAGGCAGAAGCGAGAATCGGATGAATCACAAAATCACCGGAATTTCGGCGTTATCTTCCACGGAAGGAACGGCCATTTGATCACGACGTTTCCAAGACTATACGAGGATCTTTGAAGAACAAGATGGGGACTGAGATCCAGGTAGAAATGCCGTAACTACTATGCCAGTTGCGTAGTTTTCTAAATCTTGCATAGTAAAATAATGGTAACGTGTGAGCAACTCATGATGGGATGGGAGGGCGCAGTGGACAGAAGGGTTAGGCTTGTCGTCCTTCCTAGTTCTTATAACATTGTTGGTGTGATTTCTAACGATCCAAATCCTGACTGAATCTCAGTCAATTGTTTATACCTCAAAAAGTACGAATTGAAACTGATATGCATCATGGTTACACCCATGATACTCATCAAATAGTTGACATCCTAGACTAAAAGTTGACAAGAGAAAATTATGGACATCTTTCATAACAATAATTGGAAATGTGCCAGCTCTGTGCGTGATACACCTACACAAATGCAAACTACAAGTTGAACATGCAGTATCTCGGTCCATTTGTATTCGTGGCATCAGAATTCAGAAATTGGTAATCATAGCTGGTGCCTGAAAGTGGATAATAATATCCCTTGGTCACTGGACTTGAAAAACATAGGTGTTGATGGAACTGAAATTCCAACCCAGTTAGGTGGTACCAGTTACCTGTTGCCAGGTGCACTGGCACTCATTGATTGAGTCATTTTACTGTGACTTTACTAAACTCTGCTTTAGTCATGTTGTTTGTACAGTGTACCTGTCCCTTCTTTGACTACAGAAGTTCATCATCATCATCTTTTGTACTGCTGATTCCGCAACATAGCAGATTATGATATTGATAGTTTTTCTAGGAAACCTTAGATGTAATAAGTATTGATTGTATTTACCAATGATATGTACATGTATATTTCTGTGCTGATTCGTAGGTCCGAGCGATGTACGACTTTGACGGGGTCGCCGACAACGGCGAGCTTTCCATCCGCGCGAACGAGATCCTGACAGTGACCAGACAGGACGTCGGAGACGGCTGGTGGGAAGGTCGCAACGTGCAGGGCGAGGTCGGGTTTTTCCCGGAGGCGTACGTAGAAACGCTTCCCAGCGTTCCACAGCCCCCGGCGATCCCCGCGAGAAATCAGAACACTTACAGCTCCGGCGGCCAGGCCAGCAGCTGGGACAGCTCTTCGTACAACCAACAGCAATATCAGAAGACGGCGTACAGTTCATCGTACAGCTATGGGCAGACAGCCACGGATGGCGGGGGAGGAGAGCAGGGTTACAACTTCTCCAACTCACAGGACGATGACGGTTGGGACGAGGACTGGGACGACGACACGAGCAGCAACTACAGCGACAGGAGAGCGTCTCAGCAGGACCCGGATGAACTGGCCGGCGAGGGCGTGTTCGGATTGTCCGCACCCAACCGGCAGCAGCCAAGGAAACCGTCGTCTCACTCCCAGTCGAGTGCCGGAGACGCGAAAGGCTCGGGGACGATCCGTAAGAGTCTGAACAGATTCACGGTGTTTGTGAAGTCAGGAGGAGAAAACTACATGCTGGGATCTGCCAAGGCAACTGTAGACCCCAGGGACAGAATGGAAGTCGTGGAGACTTCAGACGGGATACAGTGGGGGAAAAGTCCAGAGGTCTTCAGTGTAGAGATCAAAAACCCCACCAAGGCAAGCAAGCTGAAAGGCATGAAGAGTTTCATCGCCTACGAGGTTACGCCTACCCACACTAACAGGAGTGTCACTCGCAGGTACAAGCACTTTGATTGGCTGTACAATCGCTTGGTTGAAAAGTTCTCGGTGATTTCCATCCCGCCCCTCCCCGACAAGCAGGTGACGGGCCGGTACGAGGAGGAGTTTATCCAGCACCGCATGGCCCCAGCTGCAGTTGTGGATGAACCGGATGACGCGGCACTCCATCGTGTCGCGGGCAGACGTCTTTCAGCACTTTCTCAGCTGCGGCGACGACAAGAACACGTGGAAGGCGGGGAAACGCCGGGCGGAGAGGGACAACCTCATCGGCGGGAGCTTCTTCCTGGCCATCGAGACGCCGTCCACTCCACTGGACATGCAGGACGTGGAGCAGCAGCTGGACAACTTTGGCAAGTTTATCAAGAGTATGGACGACAGTGTGAAAACGGTGTACAACACGGCCCACGACAGCTCCAAGAAGCATGTCGGGCCGTACAAGCGCGAATTCCAGAAAGTTGGAGCTGCCTTCAATGCGCTGAGCACGTCCTTCGAACTCGACAACACGGCGAAATCGCGACCGTTAACAGAAGCAATAGCGTTTACAGGAAGGGCGTACGATGAAATCGGCCTTCTCTTCTCCGAGCAGCCAAAGAATGATTTGCATCCCTTCATGGATGCCTTGCACGAGTACAGGGGTATAATACCCACGTTCCCGGACATACTACAAGTCCACAAAGGAGCCATGGGGAAGTTCAGAGAATGCCAGAAGTTGCAGGAGGAGGGGAAAATGGAGGCGTCGGAGGTGGAGGGAGTGCAGCAGCGGCTGGAGACCATCTCGTACGCCACCCTCGCCGAAATGAACCACTTCCACAAGGAGCGCATCAGCGACATCAAAGTCATGATGCAAAATTACCTCCAGCAGCAAATAGCCTTCTACCAACAGGTCACCTCCAAGTTACAAGAGGCACTGATTCAGTACGACAATGTCTAACCCAGATGTACTGTGCACCGTGTGTTGTTTGTACAATGCTTGGAGAATGTTGACGCAAGATAGCAGCCACAAACATCATTGCTGATAATCTACAGCACTTTGGTTTTTACTCAAATACAGAAGGAGATACTAGTATGTAGCATGTCCCGATTTTAAAGCTTACTACATAAATAGTACATGTAAATAGATGCATTGTGTTTTTATTTGTCCTTTTTTGTGTCCATCGCATCGAGAGGAATTTTGTTGTTTTACGGAGCTGTCAGGTAGTTCACACTATTATGAATATATGTAACGTCTGGCATTTTTGACATATCAAGAGAATTTATGTTTGTATGTTAAGCTTATCAGCCAGTGTTGTGCCAACAAATGTACAGGTAAGGCTTCCAATAGAAATTGTAATGTTAAAACATTTATCTTGCAGAAAAGATGTTGATCTATATATCCTCAGTCTGCCTTGATTGAAAAATGCCCTAAGCACAGGAAACAAGAATAATAGGAGTTTGATTGAAGAGTTAGAAGCATAATTAGAAGTTGGACAGGGTTTGATAAAAGGTTGCTAGTCAAACTCAACCCAGAAAGGCATTACTAATGTATTTTATTTTTATGTTGGTTCATAAATACCTGATACCAGAAAAGTGATGCCCGTTACTGGGAAAATCCCTGTTATGAAAGTCAACTGGTTAAGTTTGGAGCTGTCCTGTTACAATTTATCATGTTGATAAACTTTACTGCAGGTTGTAATTTATGTTTGGTTGAACTTGAGGTACTAGCTTTAATTTTGGCTTCTTACAGCTATGAATCAACAACTTATATGTAATGATTAATTAGTTTTTAGATCAGTGGAGGTGTATGCATAACCGCTTACATGTACATAATATACTATAGATAGTATTAACTAAAAGGATGTAAGTTTTATCTGTAAAGGAGTTAACAATATGAGGTGATAGTAGAAGCCTAGATTTATCTAAAATGTAACTGCCTTTGTTTTCTACATGTACACGTATTTTCCTCCAGTGAGATGATGTAGAACCAGAAGCATCCCAGATTTTATTGCAAGAAGTGTTGTGTCACACTTCTGTGTCCTAAGGAAGAAAATTGGTTTGCAACAGAGCAAGGAAGCCCTAAAGAATTAAGTGCAACTCTTACAGTAATGTGCAGATATGTAGGGAAAGTCCTGTAGATAACTGAAGTGTATGAAGCGCAAGTGTTCTGAGACTTCTTGACTATGTTTTTTGCCTGGGTATTAAACTTAACTGAGATCTCATTGCTCACCAGAAATTCACACATGCCAAACACAAAACTACCTTTCAACCAAAGAACTTAAAAAAAAACAATGTGTCTCGTCCACTAATTGATGCAGAATCACTGGTCAGGTCAGTTCTGGTGATTCAGTGAAGAGAAAAACTAGGTGTCTTGGTTGCTTTTGACAGCAACCTCTATATAGCCAGGGTGCCAGACTGTTTCCAGGGCCTACACAGGCCAGTTCCTCGGCTCCAGGGCCAACATACCCCATGGCAATTATACCACATCCCCCCTCAGTTAGTCGCAGACTAACTCTGGTCCTAGCGTGTTATGGGTCTGGCATCTAGGCTACCTGTATGTGTTTACAGCATTGATGTGATCCAGCTTGTGAGACACAGGCACTTCTTGCTACACTGTGACCTACTGTCGTGACCCACTGTATATCACTGAAGGGTGAAGTCATGTGTACTTTAGACGTAACAATCCAGGGAACACTCTATGAGTCAAGCCACATCCATTGGTCTTGTTTTAAGATGCCTCATCTCTGCAAACAAGCATCCTAGTTAGTCTCCACCAGACTCCTTTGCAGGCTGAAGAAATGGTAGAAATCGGCAGTGCAGGTAAATTGGACCTTCTATTGCTGTCCCTTGGCCAATTATATCCCCTTTTAGGCTGATTTCTACAATTTATTTAGCCTGCAAGGGAGTCTGGTGGAGACTACATCCTAATGGTGAACCATCTGATCTTCCTTTTCTAAAGGTTGTTGCAAGTCAGGAAGTGAAAGAAACTAGTTACAGCTATATGTAAGAGTTTGTCATGATGTGCAGTTTGACATGATGTGACATTCAGGAGCAATGATTAGGGATAACCATAACATATATAAACTGTGAATCAACCCCCTTCCTGATCACTGAGAGTGTGACAGTTTTGTGTTGTTTTGACATTTTGGTTTGTGTGACATTGCAGTTGCCGTTACAGTACATAAATGTTAGATTGAAGTCTGGTTGTTTTCATCATGTTATGTGTTAAATTGGCAGCCAAAGGTACCGATTAATTCTTACGTAGTTATGGATTGTTGTCCACGGTATCAAATGTACCAGGGTATGGGAAAGATCATTGATTGTTTTCCCATGTGAATGCCCTTGTCGCTAATCAGAAGCCTAGCAGAATATGTTAACAGTGATGAAAGGATGCATATTGTATATCAGACTTGTGTGCCCTAAGCATGAAGCTAGTCCTGCAATTTTCTCGATTTTGTTCTCTCAAAACCATGTCATTGCTTCTTCATGCATTTGTATTGGTATAACTTGGTTTGATTGGAGGCATTTTGTGATTTCTTGTTCTCTTTGCACTGCTTGAAAGTCTGGGCTACATTTATGTAACCAATTGCAAATCTAAAAAGTGAAAGAATTGTGAGAACAAGTAGAAAATGTTAACTGATAATTTTGATATACCGGTTATAATCAAGCCAATTTTAATGTTTCTTGTGATTATGTTAGTACGTCTTTACAAACAGATACAGAAAAATATTGCAAGAATAATATTCCGGGTATATATTGTGTATCTGTAAAAGGCTATGACAATATTGTACTTCTTAAATTATAACATACTGCCATGATTTTACTGAAGCCTGTTCTGTTGACTGTATTTCCTAGACATGCTTTTATTTGTGTATTTAACACAAGACTAAACTATTTTTGTATGTAGCCAACATTGCGTGAGCAATTTTATGTTTGTAACTGTGTCAGTAATATATTTTGGTAGTACAGTAGGAAAAACCCTAGAGTGAATAAAAGCTGGAGCTGATATATTGTGTGTTGATGTTTTTATTGACATGTTTCTGTTTTTATTGACATGTTTCTGTTTGTCTGTATGTCATGGTCAAGTCTCACGGATGTTTGATGCCAACTTGGGCCACAGCAAGTAATTTTTGTGAATGACATTAGTGCGTGCATTAATTTTCGCCTACATGGAGGGAAAAAATTTTTTTGCCGTTTGACAGTGGTCAACATGCCGAAAATGGGCAAAGATGTCTGTTGCCATGCCAGAACGTGGATGGCAGATAGATATGAAGAGAGGAGACAAAACAAGGCTCTGATTTATTGTTTTGTCTTTTACTTTTTTCAGTGATGTATTTCATTCCTTTTATATGTGATGTTCCTACTGAATCAAAACCATTTGTACCATGATTGAAAACTTTTATTCTTAGTGGCAAATGGATGTTATAAAAGTTGGCAGTAAACAGCACAAAATAGATATTTCTTGTTTAAAAAGGTTGATGATGTCAAAATTTTAAAAGGTATAGATCTTGTTTTTTTGGCCCGCCTTGTTTTTTTTCCCCCCTATCGCATTAGATTTGGAGTCTGCCGAGGATGTCAACCATTAAGGGGGCACACCCCAGTTTATTTGGGGCCTCTATTCGAAGCTGCACACCCTCAAATCTAGCGACCGTCTCTGGCGTGGAATAATTCGGAAGGAGAATAACTGTATATGGGACGAAAGGGTATCTCTTCAGCTACAAGACAAGCTGAGTTTGGTTTCTTTAACCTTTTTAAGTTTGGTAAAATCAACGGAAAAATCATTATTTTCACTCCAAAATTAATGCCCAAAATTGCGAATTTTCGCGTAGGATAATCCCACAAAAAAAAATTTTCCGGCAGAAATGACTGATGCTGGCAGAAAGACCCAAGCCTTGACTATACCCGAGTAAATTATAAAGAAAATTCTAGTACTGTAATTTTCTAAACAGTCCACGGCGCGAGGGGTTGCAAATCCACCCCTACGAAGCCGCAGAGCGAAAACTAGGTCAAACGGGCGGATTACACTTGGCGCGCAAGGATACCCGGAAGTAAGGTTCGGAGCCAAAAGAAATTTTCACCCCAAAATCACCATTTCTTACACTCTTCAGCCATGTTAATGTTTAATGATACTTCGTGGCAGTCTATAAGAAATGTCACCTCAAACTTGGACCCTCAAAACCCTTTCGTCACTTTTTTACAACGGACTATCGTGGACCCCTGTCGCGGAAGAACTGGGGTGTGCACCGTTAAATTTACTTGCTGTGGCCATAGTGGAAAATGTAAAGCAATGGTAGGCTCCTCCGAAACAAAGAAAAGAAGAAGAGAAGAGAATGTTGAATGAACTTCTTTGATCACCCCAGTTGACAAGAATGTTTTGGCTCTATGTGTTGTCTCTTCGATGTTTTAAATTTCCTTATTTGTGAGAATATTTTTGACTATTTTTGAATATTTTAGCCATGCTCGGTAATGGTTGAGTCCAGGTTGACCTCGGGGTTAAAAGAAAATGGCCGCCGAAAACGTGATGGACGACTCTGTTCTGGACTCAACTGGTGAAGTCGACCCTCCTGCAAGGTTTGACAATCTCCTGATGGTGTTTGATACAAGAGATATCTAGCGTAACATAGTAAGACAGTAAAGTAAAGGATTTAAGCACGAGTAGAGGTGTACTCACACAAATTTGCCACCTCGCCTCGGAACAAAGAAACAAAACAAGGTGTGCAAAACCAACCTCCTTGGCCAAGCCAAAAAAAAAAAAACTTGGCCAAAGATACCATGCTAATACTGGTAATGCTACATGTAGATAATCGCAAGCCATGCAAGATAGTTCTGCTGGATCTGTGATATCGATGTGTGAGTAAGGCCTAAGGAAAGAAATGTGTTTCCTGTTTGAGTCCTGAAAAAAATTTAGAGTCTGTAACGGGTAGGGATTATCTTTTTTTTTAAACCTTGGCGATCTCTAGTGATACGACTTTAATATAACATACATGTAGTAGACTTTGGGGATCTCTAGTGATCTATAGAAGTTGGATCTCTAGATCTAAAGAATTCCAAAGTCTACATCACAGTTTAACAAAGTAAAACTTGCATTAGGCCATGTATATTTTCAATGTCGGAAAACCCGGATTGTACATTGTTTCATCACTTGGGTGTCAGATCATTGAGGTTGAAAAGTTCGATCAGCTCGAAACATTTATTACTCCGTGAAGGAGGTCAGGACCTCCGGACGGAGTGTTGTAATCGGCTGATTTTTCATGTTCGCAGTCAAAACACTGGGTTCTCTTCGTGTAATCGGCACGCAATTTTATACGCCGTCTGCGGGCATGCCCGTGTTGATGCACGAATGTGTATTTTTGCCGTTGCTGCTTTCGCGGTCAATGTAATATCGCAGACGCACCCCTACAATTACGAGGCGAATTGGAACGGTCCAGAAAAACGCGTTGTTTGGAATAGCGGGGGGGAGGTAAAAGTTCATGCAGATACGGGGTGGTTTTTATAAGTGGTTCCAGATGTTTTTGCCCATGGTTAAGAGATGCCAAGTTTTTTGGAAGATGTTCGCAGCCAAAACGCATTCTGCCGTACGTCGCATATCTGTGTAATTTCGCATGTGGTGTTGCATTATGTCCGGGATGATGCACGTCTTTTTATTTTTACCGTAGCTGTTTTGATATTGGAGTAAATGGTTATTTTCGAAACATCCCTACTTTTACAATCCTGTGGAATAGACCGTAGGTTTAGGCAGTTGTCTGGTAGCAGAGGTACTGTAAGCAGATATCCTGGTTATCTGGCCGGCGGTAGTAACACTCGCGGTGCTTACCGCCACTGTTGCTGGAATTTGGCTTGTTCCAGGCGCGCTCCTCCGCAGCGTCCGCTAGCGCGCTATAATTAAATCCACATCTGGGCGCGCGGCGGGGTCCCCAGAGCAACACAGTGCGGAAGCATTAGCGTGTATTTGTGTCCTGGGGCCGAGAACGCATTTTGCGCAAAGCATGCTGGGTAGCAGAGTGAACTGTCCTGGGGACGAGAGTTTGTGGCGCGGGCGGAGAATGCCAAAACTCCCTCCGTGGCTAAGTTCCTTCCGCGACTAACTCCCTTCTGGGCAAATGTAGAGGGATAACGGTACACCCTCATAGCGTCACCAAATGAGGTACTTTGTAAAGGTCCGTTTCATTTGGTATATATTACCATTGTGACAGCATTTTATACCCCAAAATAGGAATCTTGCGTCTTGTTTTAGGTCCCGATAGTAGAAAGAATGCAGTGTACATGTATTCAGATGGCCGCCGTGTAACGTTACGTACTAGCGAGCGCGCACGACAATACCGCCAGAGTAGAGTAGGTTATCCTAACCCTTTAGATAGCGCAAAGAAAACAAAAACGACAGATTTGCATTAAAGAAAGTTTATTTTCCATAGCCTGGGCTAAGCCACGATCTATAACCTATGGCTTCTCCACGGGCGCTGGGGACGAGCGTGGTATTAACCGTTGCCTAATTATAATGTCTGCACAGTAGGTCTGGCGTTGACGCTTGGGATTTTGTTGAAATATATAAAACTTCACGGAGAATTGTCGCCTATGGCTTCTTGTTTGATTTTCCGTTGCAGGGTCCACACAAAAAAGGCTAGGGTTGGCAGTTTTTTCTAGGGTCAGGAAACGCGACATTTTTTTTCTAGGCCTAAAGCATGTCTGAAAATGATTCTCCATTTTGTTTCAACAGTGTTGAAAGAAGCACAACTGACAACAATGTTGTGGCCACACCGCCCCCGGCAGTCCTGCACACACAACCAGAGGTCAGGTACAACTGGACAGACATCACACAGGACTTCCTCACGTCATGTGAAGGTGAGGAGTATATTAAAACTTGTGACTGTTTTTTGCCAAATTTTACTACATCATGTGTAAGGAAGTGACCTCTGACTTCCCTCCCTTATTACGACCTGGCATGACCCCGATTACGAGTAATGGATCACGATTATG